TCTTACTAAGCTCCTAAGTTGTCCAGACTGGGCTGGAACTTTCTTTTTTTTTTGAAACATGGTCTCACTATGCAGTTCAGGCTGGCCTTGAGCTCACTTTGTAGCCCAGGCTGCTCTCAAACTCACAATGATCCTCCTGCCTCAGCCTCCCGAGAGCTGGGATCATAGGCGTGCGCCACCACGCCCGGCCCTGGGCTGGAACTTTCGGTCCTCTTGCCTCAGCCCCGCAGAGCTGGGATCACAAGTCCAGGCATCTTTAAGAATCGGTCAGGAGGAAAGCTGCTGGTGGGGTCAGGGAGCTGCAGGCTCACTTCCCTTCTCCAGATGGGGAATCAGGCCAGAGGCACGGCTCACACCCGAGGATCTGGAGTCCGGCTTTGGGCTCCCTGCCCCCCAGTCAGACCCTGGAGGCCCTGAAGTGCCGCCAGCCCTGGGCTGGGCCCCGTCCTCGCCCCATGGCTGAGCCAGACCAGCTGTCCCAAGCTAGGGACCCCGTGGGGCACATCAGGGCTCCGCAGGCCCCATAGGGAAAGGTCAGGACCGCGGGCCCCTGGGGCAGGGCCCTTGCAGGGATCTGCTCTGGGCCAGGCATGGTGGCACACGCTTGTCATCCCAGCTACTCCTGTCGTCCAGCTGCTTGGGAGGCTGAGGCAGGCGGATCACAAATTCGACCCCAGCCTGGGCAACACAGTGCGAGGCTGTCTCAAAGCAAAATGCTACAAGAGCAAAAGAGGGCAGGGGTGCCGCTCAGGGGTGAGCACTTGCCTGGGGTCCATCCTCAGCACCTCAAAGGGAAGAGTGCACAAGCGCGCACCAGCACCTGCACACACACGTGTGCGCATGCGCACAGCACGGGCAGTCAGCCGCAGCACCGTCTGGCAGGCTGGAGTGCACGGCCTTCGGAACCGTGTCTGGGAGGAGGACGCTGCTCCTGGGCCCCAGCTGTGAGGACGAGGCAGGACACCCAGGCAGGGCCAAGCCGGGAGCTGCGGCCCCACAGGCGCAGGAGCTGACCTGGGGGTGCAGGGGCGGGGCTGGTTTTCTGCGAGGCTTCTCCCGGCAGGGTGCGACGGCCTGGCAAGCTGAGGGTCTGTGGTTTGTGCCCCACAGCCCCGAGCTGCTCTAACGGGGAGGGAGGGCTCTCAGAAGGACTGAAAATTTGGGGATGTTTTAACACAAAGCAAATGCGTGCAAGCCCGGATGTCCAGGAGTGCAGGCCCGCGCGCCCGCAGGGCTCCTGTGAGGCAGCTGAGGATGGACGCCCTGGCACGGGGAGCCATGGCAGGTTCTAGGCAGGAGGTGGGGCAGGGTGCCTAGTGCGGACACGGTGAGGGAAGCCGGCCAGTGAGCCGGGCGCCCCTTCTGCTTCCGGGGACCGCCTGGAGGCTGCGCCCCAAGGGCCTGAGAGCAGAACCCTCGAACGCGCAGGGTTTCTGGCAGGCTTGAGGGTCTTCCGTTGTCCAAAAGCTGCCCTGGCTTCCCCAAGTCGCAGCCCGCGGGCAGGATGCGAAACCCTGTGGGCAGGGGCACGCGCGGGGCGGCGGGGCCGGGGGCGGCCCTGGCTCACAGAGGGG